ATATTCCTAGCCTTTCAATGATTAAAAATGTTGGCAATGATGAAGTGTAAAATGTAACAATTATTACTAACCTCTTGTTGCTGTATGGCCAGCAAATCCACCACACTTTCTTGCAGCTGGAACGTCACAGCACAGAGCCACTAATGCCACTCGAACCTTTACAATGTCAAAAGAGGATTCTTTGAACACCACACCATCCCATAAATCTGATAACGCATTTACAAATGGCTGTAGAAATGAATTAATGTTTCCTTTAGGTTCTGAAGGTCCAGGGATAATGCCAACTACAACAACATTTTCTATCTTAAAACGTTCTTCGCGAGGAAGGTTCATAAAAACTGCATATATTACGCCACAGCTATAATTAGTGTGCTTATAAGGCTGAAACCAGTCTACATTGATCATGATACCCAAATTTCCAAATGTTGAAAAGAATGGTTTTCCATCCACATCCATTGGTCAGCGGCACCGGCTATGGTTGCCACATCGTTGTGTTAGTCCGTATTTATCTGTGTTCATCACTGTTAGCCTTGAGCTAACAGTCCATCATGTGGCCTAATTTTGTTCCTAACGTGCCCCTTGCGGTACTGATGCAGTTTGTTATCAACTTTGCCTCTACCATGGTAGTTTATGCCAACAGTTACAGTTGCCCGCCACTCTTTATAAACGGATCTCGGATAGAGTGTGTCAAGTCGTTCAAGTTTCTTGGAGTTCATGTGTCAGACGACTTGACTTGGGGCGAGCACTGTGAACGTATTGTCAAGAAGGCAAATCGCCGACTCTATGCCCTCCGAACGCTAAAGCGTTGCAAAGTGCCAGCTCCTGATATTGTAAGAGTTTATTGCGCGCTCCTTCGTCCTATCTTAGAGTACGCATCAGTTGTCTTTGATAACTTGCCGCAATATCTTTCTCACGCTATCGAGAAAGTGCCAATGCGCGCGCTCGCAATAGTTTTCCCTAACATACCTTACAACGACGCCCTTTATGTGGCGCAGTTAGAGCCACTTTATGTAAGACGATCGGAAGCATGTCGTCAATTTATTCAGCAATTGTCAAAGGAAAACCCAGTACACAGGCAAGTTAAATGTAGGATAGAACAAACTTCCGCACGTTACAATCTGCGTGCTCCAGTCACTCACATCAAATCGGCTAACACCAACCGATTTAAGGACTTCGTGACAAACAGGCATGCCCGGGACATATCATTTAGGAACTGATGAACATTGAATTATTTATTCCTCATATATGTATGTATGTAGACTTGTCAAGTGTGTAATTTATCGTTTCTGACCCGTATCTGTAATTCAGTCTATACTGCAAGAGATACGATTAAACATATCTATCTATCTATCTATCTATATCCATAAATTTTTTCCACAGATTTCCATCAAACA